TTTCAAAAATAGATTATCAAGTAACCACCACATGGTTTCCAGATAGAAAATTGAACCCGAGATCGATATCTGTTTTCGATCATGGAGAAATAGGCTCCCGCGGTAAATAATAATAATAATAATTTTAGTAATCTCAATAGGCTTTCAGACTAGACCTGCATGGCAGTATTGAATCGGCATTCAGGCAACAGACCCAAAGAAAGCATACAAAAGTCCATTCATTGGGCTACCGAACGATACTTTAGCTCTTTTGATCTGGTAATATCCAACGGAGAAATCGCGTTTTTGGCATAAATCTTCATTTTTATGCATTTTTTCAAAATATCGGATATATATTATCGACTACTTCCGGTTTACTTATCAATTTCGGATAAAAAAAAAAGAAAAAAAAAGAGAGAATTTTCAGTAATTTAACGATTTTTCATTTTTTTTTCAAAGTTTGGGGCTCCTTTTGGACCATTTATATCATTTCAAGTCTTTTACATTTGGATGTACACCCTAGACCACAACTCGCTAACCTCTAGGTCCAATAGTCAATCCCCTTATTAGTCGAGAAATTATCAGATTTTCCAGCTTGGTTCTTCCCTTGTGAAAAGTGTAAGGATGATGGATGACCTGACAAAGGACAACATATAGTCAGAGGGGATGAGAAACCTAGGTCCTATGTACGCATTTGCTTGCACGTAACACAACCCAAAACAATTGGAATACTAAATAAGTTCCCTATAGCGCTGCAGTCCGGGCAAAAATCCTTCATACCACAATTTTCTAAATTGAATATCTATTTCTGGTAATGTGCACCACTTTGATGTCATTTTCTACCTAAGCAGCTGTGGAAGTGCCAGTCACATATTTTAAGGAAAGGTGTGTGTGTGTGTGTGTGGGTGTGTGTGTGTGTGTGTGTGTGTGTGTGGGGGGGGGTGATCCAATGGTTAACACGTCCGCATTCCATCATGAGGTCTATCATTGAATCGATTGGTGTGGATGTGTCATAGATTATACATGACAAGGACTAGGGCCTGTCCAACCTCCTGGGTTTCCTCCCACTGCGAAAGTTTCTGTCACGAAGTCAAAATGCTGTGGATTCCAGAACATACGAGGTGTGAAACCCTAATTATGCTGAGAAGGTGAATCCCAATACATTGATTCAACATTATAGCCCTTCTGACCAGTAGGTATTCCTTTAAAGTCATGCGGAGCTTGAAGACAGATCATATGTAGTTTGTAAATGACATATGGGATTAATTACATGTTTAATTAGAATGTGACTAAACAGAAGTATATAGAGTTGTAAAGTGAATATCATATATATATTATCAAAGATAGGTTGCCAGGCAACGAAACATACGCCCACAGCAGCTAAATCGTCCGAGGGGTCAACAAGGGTTGATGCATATTTATTCTTTTGTAGGTAATTGGGGGCATTTACAAGACAATTTCATACAGATCAGATTATCATTTTTGTCGTTTGAGAGTTCACAAGGTTCTACAAACTGAAACAAGGGCCTTAACTTTGGAAGTAATTTACAAAAAGGATTGAAATTTGACAGGCTTTTTCTTTTCACTGATTTAAATAATGCATAGAAATTTCATACAGATCGGATGATAATTTTTGTCATTCGAACGTTCACAAGGTTCACAAAGTGAAACAAGGGCAATAACTCTAGACATAATGAAAGGAAATTGCTGAAATTCTATAGGATTCTTGTTTTTACTAATTTAAATAGCGCATATATATTTCATACAGATCGGTAGCTAACTTTTCATGTTAGAGCGTTCCCAAGGTCCAACAAAGTGTAACAAGGCCCATAACTCTAGAAGTAATAAACGGAAATTGCTGAAATTCAATAGGATTCTTCTTTCTACTAATTTAAATGACACATCTAAATTTCATACAGATCGGCAGATAACTTTACATGTTAGAGCGTTCACACGGTGCAACAAAGTGAAACAAGTGCAATAACTCTAGAAGTAATAAAGGGAAATTGCTGAAATTCAATAGGCTTCCTCGTTTCACTAATTCAAATAATGCATATAAATTTCACAAAGACCGGGTGATATCTTTTGGCATTAAATGCGCTCAAAAGGTTCAATAAAGTGGAACAAGGGCCATAACTCTAGACGAAAAAACGGAAATTGCTGAAATTCAATAGGCTTTTTTGTATCACTATTTTAAATAATGCATATAAATTTCACAAAGATCGGATGATAACTTTTGGCGTTGGAGCGTTCACAAGGTTCAATAAAGTGAAACAAGGGCCATAACTCTGGATGTAATAAAAGTAAATTGCTGAAATTCAATAGGCTTCTTTGTGTCACTAATTTAAATAATGCATATAAATTTCACAAACATCGGATGATAATTTTTTGCGTAAGAGGGTTCACAAGGTCCAACAAAGTGAAACAAGGCCATAACTCTAGACGTAATGAACTTAAATTATTGAAATTAAATAGGCTTCTTCATCTCATTAATGTCAACAACATATATCAATTTTAAAACAATCGGATCATAACGTTTGGTGTTAGAGCGTTCACAAGAAATTGTGGAAATTGGACGGAGCGACAGACGGACGGATGGATGGGGGTGACGATAATATATGTCCACATTTCCATGTGGGCGTATAAAAACCAGCTGTAGGTCAGTAAGTTCACTTTGATAAAAGTTATAGATCACTTTGTCACAAATTTTTTTAGTTAAATGTTCACTTATGATATCTATGGTAAATGTTAATTATGCCCAAACGTTTGTTTGTGTATCGAACTTAAAGATTGTTTTATTTTTTGTTGTAGCAAAACCTGTTACTGTAGTTGTGTACCGACAACATGGTGATTATCGTAGCGTAAACGTCTTAATATAAAGTCTTAATTTAAGAAAACAAAAACAATGCATGGGTCCACAAGCTAAAGATAGGTTGCTAGGCAACAAAACATACGCCCACAGCAGCTAAATCGTCCGAGCGGTCAACAAGGGTTGTCGCATATTTATTCTTTTGTAAGTAATTAGGAGCATTTATGATGACATTATAATTTTCGTCATTTGAGGGTTCACAAGGTTCTAAAAACTAAAACAAGGGCTGTAACTCAGGAAGTAATCTACAGAAATTGTTGAAATTAAACAGGCTTTTTCGTTTTACTAATTCAAATAATGCTTATAAATTTCATACAGATCAGATGATAACTTTTGTTGTTCGAATGTTCACAAGGTTCAACAAAGTAAAACAAGGGCCATAACTCTAGAAGTAATTGACGGAAATGGCTGAAATTCAATTGGCTTCTTCATTTCACTAATTTAAATGATGCATATGAATTTCATACAGATCGGATGACAACTGTTGTCATTAGAGCGCTCACAACATTCAAAAAAGTGAAACAAGGGCTATATCTCTAGATGTAATTAACGGAAATTGGTGAAATTCAATTGGCTTCTTTGTTATACTAATTTAAATGATGCATATAAATTTCATACAGATCGGTTGATAACTTTTGTCGTTAGAGCATTTACAAGGTACAACAAAGTGAAACAAGGGCCATAACTCTAGACGTAATTAACGGAAATTGCTGAAACTCAATAGGCTTCTTATGCATATAAATTTTAAACATATCGGTTGATAGCATTCACAGGGTACAACAATTTCTTGTGAACACTGTACAGACTACATTTATCACCTGATTGTTTTGAAATTGATATATGTTGTTTGCATTAGTAAGATGGAGAAGCCTATTTAATTTCAATAACTTCCGTTAATTTCTTCTGGAGTTATGGCCCATAACCTTGGTATTACATACTTTTACAAGGTTAGCGTACGAGGAGCGGCCATTTTGTCGGGCAGTCTCAGTTCAGTTTTCACGAAATCCGAACGCAACCGTCCTTATGGTGTAAGGGTGATATATTTGAATGGTTTTTAAAATCGGATAAAAATTGTGATCTCTGGCGGGTCCCCAAGATAAAAACGTGATTTTTCGTACAATCAGGGGTCATAATCCATGTGTTACGTCCGAAATGCACGAATATCGAAAGGAATCGAGATCTTTGGGATATAAACATATATTTTTAAAGTTCATTATAATCGGAAAATAATTGTAACCTGTAGAGTGTCAACAACCTTGGTATTACATACTATTTACACTGCTAGTGTACCAGGAGCGTCCATTTTGTCAGGCAGTATCGGTCCGGTTTTCACGAAATCCGAACTCAACTGGTGTAACGGGGATATATTTGAACGTTTTTTTAAAATCAGATAAAAATTGTGACCTCTTGCGGGTCCCCAAGATAAAAACGTGATTTTTTGGACAATCAGAGGCCATAACCCATGAGTTACAGTCCGAATGCGCGAATATCGAAAGGAGTCGAGATCTTTGGGATATAAACATTTATTTTAAGTTTCATCAACATCGGATAAAAATTGTGACATCTAGAGGGTCCACAACCCTGGTATTACATACTTTATCTAAATCTTACAAAATGCATCTTTAATTTTCATCAAAATAAAAAAAAAATTGTTATGCCTAAGTGTGCACAAGCTAAAAACATGATTTTACCTATAATCAGGGGTCATAATCCATGAAGTTACAGTCCAATACATGCTAATATCGAAAGGAATCGCAAGATCTTTGGGATATAACCCTACATTTCAAGTTTCGTCAAAATCAGATAAAAATTGTGACCTGTAGGGTGTCCACAAACAAATTGTGAACGGACGGTCAAACAGGGGCGACGGCAATATACGTGCACATGAAAATGTGGGTCTTTAAAAATTGTGAACTCTAGAGGGCCCACAACCTGGATATTATATGCTTTTACACTATTTGCGTAACGGGGAGCGGCTATTTTGACGGTCAGTTTAGGTCCGATTTTCGAACTTACCATAATCATGGCGTAATGGTTTTTAAAATTAAATATTGTGCCCTCTAACGTAAAAACATAAAAACACTGAGTATAAATTTAAAGTCAATCGGATGATAACTTTAGCGACCATAATATAAAGATTATAAGATAGTAATTAAAAGCAAATAGTTTATTAACAATTTGGTTCATTTGAATACTCCATGGCTATTCCCTTCAACCCATCCGTTGCTCTGACGACAGCCGTTTCGCCCAGGTTTGGTTCCAAACCCCTCCATGACTTTTCAGCTAGAAATTGACCTAAAAAAAGAAATATTAAAACAATGTGAAAAGTTGACCATTTTGAGTTCAAACTTCATTAAATTTGATGGTCTTTAATGATCAGCAAAGTTTCATTGTTGTTCTTATGACATCTTTAAAAGGAGCGGTTACCATGCAAGATACAGCCACATTTTGCAATCAATAGGGCTCATCCTATGGGTCACATCGGATTTGAAAACCAGCGGCTGCCAGGCAGGATACACCCACACTTTGCAAGAGATGGATAGAGAACAAGCTAAACAAAAAGCAAGTTTTCGAACAATCAAGGGCCATATTTCAGGAATTACGATCCGATATGCGTGGATATCGACAGGAACCAAGATCTTTGGGTTATAGAGATATATTTCAAGTTTCATAAAAATCGGATCAAAATTGTGACTTCTAGAGGGTCCACAACCTTGATATACCATATATTTACACTATTTGCGTACGAGGGGTGGGGTGATAATAATAGTGACCTCCAGAGGGACCACAGGCTAAAAAAGGCGATTTTTCTTACAATCAGGGGCCATAATTCAGGAAGTTACGATCCGATATGCGCAAATATCGAAATGAACCCAGATCTTTGGGTTATAAACATGCATTTCAAGTTTCATCAAAATCAGTTTAAAATTGTGACCTATATAGGTTCAACAAGCTAAAAACGTGATTTTTCGTACAATCAGGGGCCATAATCCATGAAGTTTCGATCCGATACATGCCAATATCGAAAAGCAACCAAGATCTTTTGGAGATAAACCTATGCTTCAAGTTTTGTCAAAATCGGATAAGAATTGGGACCTGTAGAGTGTCCAGAAACGATTGTGAGCGGACGGACGGACAGACAGACGGACAGGGGCGACGACAAAATACGTCCACATGAAAATGTGGGCGTATAAAATCTGTTAAGTGGTTGCCATGCAAGATAGGCCCACATTTTACAGAGAGAGAGAAACAGGGTTTAACGTCCACTCGACACAAACTAGGTCATTTTGGGACTAACACATGGTTAAGTTGACTCAATGACAGGCCGTATGATACAGCGCACACGTGCTAACCATTCGGCCATCCTCCCCTCCCCCCCCCCCCCCACATTTTACAAGAGAAGGACAGAGAGATGGAAAATCAATAGGGCTCATCCTCTCATTGTCCTCATGCTTCACAAAGTTAAAAAAAAAAATCAATCAAAATTAAAAAACTAATTCAAGGCTCAGTTTTAAAGATAGTGTCCTTACTGGTCAAGGCTACTGCATAGTTTTTGGGAACTAGCCCAAATTGGGGACAATGAACAAAATATACATTGTCGAATATGTTGATGATAATATCTTAATATTTTCCCTTCTGATATCTGTGTATTAATAATACGCCCAGTCGCCCACACAGTAGCTTTGGCTCAACAGCAACTTTATCCGAAAGGGAAACTTGGATGTTGAGCAAATTTGAAAAGGATCCTTGAAGAAATGTAATCTCTAGTATTCATCCTCTTATGACTCCATTATCTCAACTGCAGGTTATCCATAAGAAAAAACTTGGATGTGGAAGAAATCTAATCTCTCAGGTTCATCCTCTTACTGGGGCGGAATAAGGGATCAGTGGCCAGAGGCGGCTAGTTCAGAAGGGCCCTAGTGATGGGGATCGAGGGTATTCCCTAAGAAAATTTGGAAAATTACATCACCGTAGATGAGATTTAGAGTATTTCCTGTCGATTTAGAAACAGACTGGAACCAATGATTTATTTCCCCAAATCTAGCGCAAAACAAATGAAATTGGGTTTAACGTTCTGCTCTTGTGCAAAGACTGGATTAATGAAGACGGGCATATGCCATGCAATGTACTATGACGGACCAGTTTTGCCCGGTGAGCGTTGTTTCTGCCTACTCTTCTTCCTGATCCCAGTGTTTGCTTTGAAAGTTCCTCGGAATTTCCGGCGAAGTATCCAGTTGTCAGTGGTGCAGGATGGAGGGCTTAGCAATCATCTAGTTGTTCGTGTGGGACAATAAACCAAGGACCTGTGTCCACGTTGTCGTTCACGTAAAAGAAACATTGACCATTGGAATTGGCAGTAGTGCAGCTGTGTGGGCAAAATTTCACTTATAGTACACTCCATTTACCAGGTTGGTGGAGAAAAGTATGACGTTAATCCCCATGTTATGGAGATGTAAGCATCTGACAGTTTTAAATGAAAATTTATTTCCATTGTAAATGCTGAATTAAAGTATTTGGAGAAATTGGTTTGAAAGAAATGTTTGAATTTTAATTGTTGACAGAATCTAATCTGGAGATGATATTCGAACGCACTGAAATGAAATGGGGTTTAATGTCCTACTGTTCTGCTCTGAATGGGCTAATGAAGTCGGGCATACGCCATGCAGTGTGCTATGAGGGAAATTTTGTCCAGACGGCGGCACTACGATATCTCTGATACAGAATTCCAACCGTGAAGGCTTCTTCTACGTGCACGCCAATGTGTACACGGGACCTCGGTCTTTCGTCTCATCCAAACGATTGGCTATACCCTTACCAGACCCTCCATCCTACACCACTGACAAAGGGGAACCACGCCGAAAAATCGGGATTAACTTTCTTGGCCAACAGTGGGCTAGAAAATGGGACCTCCAGTTTAGAGAGCCAATGTCTTACTAACCGAACCACCACAGCTCCCTAGTGGAGCGCAAGTGATCTGTAAATCGCACTAGAGCAGTATAATTGGCGGGGCGGTGTGTGTGTGTATTGAATCTACATGCACCCATCATAGCCAATGATAACGAAAATCCAGACAGACACTGAATTCGGCGCACTGTGCGCTGAAAAATGATAACAAAAAACAAATGAGGGCTAGGCAGTGATGGGATTTCCAAATTTACTTGTCTGACATTTTTACCGAAAATAAAGGGGCATAACTCTTATCGTTATTTAAGCAGGCGGTTTCAGACCACAATTAAATAATCAAATTTATGTCCGTAATATTCCTACAAAGTTATGTGTTGTCGTAATACGATAGAATGAAAGCGTGTCGACTATTACTTTTGTTCAAATTCACCTCCAAAATTACAGTATTTTTCGGAGTATAAGTTGATACTTTTTTCAGCAGAAGTCCCAAAATCTTTTGGGCAGTGACCATTTCTCCACGATACCGAGCCAGTGACATCATACCCCATTCAAAATATTATCATAAACCCGAGAATATGCCATCAAAATAGAATCTTTTCTCTGACGTGATAGTTGTCACGTTTACATCTCTTGTAATTTCACGTGTCTCGCAAGATTTCTACTTTAGTTTTCGATTATTGATTATAACCATGTGTGTGTGTGTGTGTGTGAAATAGCTTTAATTAACATCCGCTTCCACCGAAGTGATATCGCAGACAAATTAACGGATATATTGATTTGGGGTGTTATATACTCTTACAATCAGGCATGAGAACAGGAAAAAATATTTTTGGAGGAAAAATATTTGAGTGCCGGAGGCTCGAATACGCAGTGTGAGCCCGCACACTGCTCACCTAGGGGGGTCTGGGGGCATCCCCCCCATAAAATGTTTTGACATTTAACCGTCAAAAACTGGCTTTTTCATACATTTTGAGTGATATGTGACCTGAATCATCACCATATTTCAACAGAAACGATGATGTAAAGATTTTTCCCGAACTGTTTCTATAAGTAATATCCACGGACTTCTCCAGCCAGCTCCATCGAAACTTATTCCTAATATTCGTATCAATTTCTTTCATCCGATTCCAATCTTTGAATTATGGCCGCCATTTTCGAGCTTTAGTGAACTACCGCAACAATATGTAGAAGCTAAATGCCGAGAAGGCGGCACGTACCGCGAGGATTCAGGTAATAACCTCAGTCATTGCGGTACGATAGTACACTGCAGTGCACATTACAATGGAAGCCTAGTACGTGTACTGCAGACTGGGGTAACAGATAGTTTGTAAACAAGATTTTTACCGAGCGTTCTGAAAACATCGCTCGGCAGAATGTGAAATTTAAGACCTCACCCCCCTTGAAAATTTTTATTGCATTTTTGTATTGATCTCAAAATCGACCAAAATGAAAATAAAACCCCGGAAATCCGCGGAAAATTCTCATGCCTGTATAATATGTGACATTTATCACTAGTTTATACATATTGTCGGCTCACATCAATGCGATTATTAAAATGTCCGACAATAGAGAAACCATGAGGTAAACACGTAGATTGAAATGATAATCACTCTTATTGGATTGATGAATAGTCCGACAAAGGGGAAGAAATGACTTCTGTTTAAGATTAAATTGATGAATTGTCCGACAAAGGATCAAGTCAGTCAATGAAGGCAGATTAATTAATTAATCAAGGTAGGTGTACAGACGGTATAACCTGTTAAATACTTTGATCACTTAATTACCTAATCAATCCAGCCCATTATCAACAATAGTGGTAGTTATACACACAGTACACTATATTAATTTTGGAATTATGAATATTATTCACCAAGTCTTGATGTCCGATTGGGAATATTCCTGGTCGGATAATTTAGGACGTTTGGAAAACAGCGTCGGATATGCCCAGAATATACGGGCGAAATCCCATCTCTGGGGCTAGGCCTATGTGAACTAATGAATGATGGGTCACGCATTTCTCTTATGGCTCTTGACTCATGTGCCTAACTACTAGACAAAGACACAGGGGCCCTTGCCATGAAGTCAAAGGAGTCCTTTTCTCCGATTTGACGGTCCCTTTTCCTTTGACTTGAGGGCCCTTTTCCTGTACTGGAGGCCTCCCTACTGAACTAGTCGGTCCTGCCTTAGGTGTTCATATCAAATATTTCCCCCCGGATTCTGTTTTCTTTTAGTTTTATTTTTAGAGATTTTTACATTTTTTTAAGGGGTCGGAAATGGGGTTTAACGTCTATTCAACACAAACTAGGTCATTTCGGGATTAACACATGGTTCAATTTTATTTCAATAATTCTCTAGCACGTAGAACCCGGAGAAAACACACGAGGTAGAAC